ACCTGTTTCAGTTCCAGCTTGCACAGCTGAGTACACACCGGCTGGTGGAGGACCACCATACTTCCTCTGTCTGGTGGCTACATCCAGAGTATAACCACCTCTCAAGCAAGGCCCTGCTTGCTCTTTGTTTCATCAGGCCCCTTTGTAGACTCTTGCACCTCTTCCTGCTTCTCTCTTTGCTTGTAGGTCTTCATAACTCCACTTTTGTTTGTATAAAGTGGTGGAGGAAGACTTGCTTTGTGCTTATGCCACTTTTTCTTCTAAATGTGAGATAGTTCATGAACTATCCCTGAACTTGTTTGTAGCACAGACAGCTCCTTCTTTATGAAACTCTCAGAACATCACTTGCTCTTTTATCAAGATCATACACTACCAACCCCATCTAAAACAGTTCATCATGTCTTTCTGCCACCCTCTGTAATAGGCCTGCCTCTATCAGCGATGTGTGGTGCTCTGTGTGAGTTACACGGGAAGTATCCATGGGTTCTTCCTCTTTAACTGTATTGCCATTATATTAATTATGCTACCTCAGGCACTAAGTGTCATGGTCTGCAGTAGTCATTTTATTTTTCCTTCATAGCTTAGCTTGAAGCTTGCAGAATGGGGATGGGCCAAAGGAGTGGACACCAGAGGGGCTGAGGAGTAAACAAGGGAGAGGAGGCACCAGGATTGGGACTTGGGCCCAGGGCTCAAGGCAGGCCACAGTGAGAGCTACCCCTGGTCCAGTCCCCCTCCCCAGAGTGGGTGTTCATCTATCATTAGCAGCTTCCAAAAGAGGAGGAGGTATACTTCCATATAGACCTTTATCATGAAAAGTTCTGTTAGGGGTCGAAGATAGTCACTTTGGCCAAGAACCACACTGATTCTTAAAAGCTTCATGGTCATAATTTCTGGCCTAGGTAAAGGGCTTCTGTTTTAATAAATGTCAATTTTTTGTTCTTAGTGTGCCTCGGTATGATCAGCCTCCTCCCATCACGTACCAGCCACAGCAAACTGAAAGAAATCAGTCCCTCCTGGTTCCTGCGAATCCCTACCATACTGCAGAAATTCCTGACTGGCTTCAGGTTTATGCCCGAGCCCCTGTGAAGTAAGTGAGCACAGTCCAGTATCTTTGGGTTCTCTAACAAGCTTGACATAAAAAGTACCATGCTTAGCTCATTGGTGGTGGCACATACCTATAATGCCAGCACTGATGGGGGTGGAGCACATATATGGATATGACAGAGGCGGGCAGTTCTCTTGAGCTTGAGGCCACCCTGGTTTACAGAGTGAGCTTAAACAGCCACAAAGTCACCCTATCTCAAAAAAAAAGTACTGTGCTTTTCTTATAATATTGGGTTCTATGTAATATTTAAGAAAGGATATCAGAGCTTATAAAGTCTGACTCTGATTAGAAGTAAGAATCCTTCAAAGATACCTGAATCCTCATTACTTTGTGTGCAGAACTCTAGTAATGGATATATAATAATATCAAATATGACAAATTTAATTGTTGTTGCTTTCTTTATATTTTTATATGAGATTAACATATAACATAACATAATACAGTACTTACAATCAAAAAAAGAGTACCCAATTAAGAGCCTGGTACACTGGTGAAACAAAGCAGACACCCTGAGAATAAGCTCTTCCTTAGAAATCACCAGTGAATTTCAGAGAAATCCTAAGTAAATTAAGCTACCTGAATGGGAGACACTTGAGATGTAACTGCTTCTTCATGCAACTCCAGTTACTGTTCACGAGGAGTTAATTGCCTAGAAAGGAGAATATCCAGGTTTCTGCAAAGAAATGAGTAGTAAGTTTTCAATCTTTAAATAACAGAATAAAAATGGGAGTCCATTGAAATGCTTACTGCACCTTTGCCTCCTCTGCTGGTGTTCCTGGGGCACACACTCAAGACACAGCAACTGCTCAGTATGCTCTCTGCTTGCTTATTTATTTATTTATTTATTTATTTATTTATTTATTTATTTATTTATTTATTTGGAGCTGTGTTTTTATATTAGATAGATGATCCTTCTGAAATAAAATGGCAAGTGAGTTACCAAAGTACTCACTAGGCAGGACCTAAATTCACTAGACTTTGTAATTAAAGCTTCCTTTTATGTCTGCCCTGCAGTGATTTGAGATATGACAGTACGTAGGTACATGACTCACTGTATTTACATTCCTCTAGTAATGGACATTCACCCTGAAAACTTCCATTCTAAAGCTTCTTGGGCTATAGAACTGTCTTTCTGAACTGATAGTCACTAAACATTTAAGCTCTCAGAGTTTTTCCTCTGTAAACGAGAAAACTGACTTGTCTCATATCTTCCCTTTCGAAGTGTACCACCTTGGTTTTGTAGTTCCAACTCACCGTGAGCCACTTACGTACCTAGGGGGATTAGAGGCCTTCTAAGACACACAGAAGTATAGTGAACATGATGTCACATTGTGGAGTTTTCTTTGGATTATTCTCTCATTTTGAGTTTATTCTATGCAGAATTATTTTATTGTTAAGTATGTGTATGTATTTGTGTATGCATATGTTTAGTGTAGCTTGAGTCCAAAAGAAAGTTTTGGATTTCCTGCAGCTGGTGTTACAGGAGGTTGTGAGCTGCTTAATGAGGGTGTTAGGAACTGAACTCAGGTTCTTTGCAAGAGAGCTACATGCTCTTAACTTATGAGCCATCTCTTCAGACCCGTCTTTCTTGGTTTTAGTTCTAGTTACTCATCTTTAGGAGTAGCTGGCCTACAAATAATAATTCATCTTTTTTTTCTGCTTGGCGTAGTGAACAGTATCCTCTTATACATTTGTCAATCTGCTAGCACTAATGACACCAGTGACTCTGCTCATTTCTCTACATAATCACTTATAAGCACAGTATTCTCTCAAGTATTCTAAGATCTTACATTAACTTTGTATGAACTTACAGAGAGCAAAGGATGTGCTTTTGGGAAATTACAGACCTACTATAGTCTGGAGTTGGTATTAATGGTTGTCCAGGGCTTGATTCTTAAACACTCTTTAACCTGAGATAATATCTAAGAGCTTTTTTCCTTCCTTAAAAAAAATAGCATTTTGGGGTTGGAAAGATGGCTCAATTGTTAAGAGCACCGGCTGTTCTTGTAGAGGACCCAGGTTTGGTTCTTAGCACCCACGTGGCAGCTAGGAGATCAAGTGTCTTCTTCTGTCTTTCATAGGCACCAAGCATGCATGTGGTGCACAGACATATCACATGGGCAAAACACTCCTACATAGTCTCTCAATTAAAAACCATGTACTTAGCACTGGAGAGAGAGCATGGGCTGCTTTCGCAGAGGACCCTGGTTCAGTTCCCAGGAAACATATGGTGGCATAAAACTGTAACTCCAGTTCCAGGGGACCTGATGGCTTTCTTGGGTACCAGACATGCATATTGTGCATTTATATGTATGCAGGCAAAGCATTCACACACATGAAAAATGGAAGTGAATTTTAAAAAGAGAGGGAAGAAGGAAAATAGTGTATTTAGAGCCATGTGCATCAGCATGGTCCTGTATTCCCAGCTGTGAAGGAGGGTGAGGCAAGAGGGTACCCTGAGCCCAGGAGTGCATGGTCAGCATCAGTCCCCAGCTCAAAAAAAGCTAGTTCTACTAACTCAAATATTTAAAGTCTTACTTATAATAATATATGTAAAAATAGACCAATTCATTGTTGTGGATAGATGTGTATGTGTTATATATGAACACTATGTCTCACAACAGATATGACCACATTCTGAAGTGGGAACTCTTCCAGCTGGCTGACCTGGACACATACCAGGGAATGCTGAAGTTGTTGTTCATGAAGGAGCTGGAGCAGATCGTTAAGCTGTACGAGGCCTACAGACAGGCTCTTCTGACTGAGTTGGAAAACCGCAAGCAGAGACAGCAGTGGTATGCCCAGCAGCATGGCAAGAAGTTTTTAAGTTAACTTTATCACAATCCAAGTTTTGTAAGAGCTTTAAAATATTTTCAGGTAAATGACTGCAAACAAATACTTTGGTTAATAAAGGCAACTTACTATTTGGAATTATAAAATTCTAGTTTTACATATATTTTGTTATCAAAATTTTTCTTTTATTGAACCAAAAATTAGTTTTATCATTTAAAGGGCCAATATGGCATACGCTTCCAAATGCTGTACTAGGAAACTGCTTTGAATATTCTTGATGAAAAGGAGTCCAGAAAGAGAACATAACCAGGCATTAGACAGGAAACAATCACTCTCCTTATGAACACACCCTTCTTGTTCAGAAAAAGGAAGAGGGCAGGAGCACATTTTTTGAAAAGTTGCTTACTATGGTATCAAGTACTTTCTGGAGTAGGGTAGTTTGACCATTACCATGGGTGTAATTCAAAAACACAGAATAGGACCTGGAACCTTTGTTATGATGAACTTGTCTGTGATGTGTGTGGTCACGTAAGGAGCGCCTGGGAAGTACCCTTTCAGGAATCCATTTAAACACAGGCCTTAGCCCATGCGGAACTGCTGCTAACACTGCTTCCTTCCTTTGAGCCAGAGCAGGCACTGCAGTTCACAGGCTCTGCTGAGACAGAGTACACCGCCTTCCACCAGGCAAGGCTGAGTTGCCAAAAATGACAATCGGATCCGATAAGAAATCTTAAATAAATTTTGTAAGCCTTTTTTATCTTAAGTTTTTTGCCATAAAGGTTTAGAAACAGGTCATTCCATCCCCTTTTTCTTGCTTTGGGCTTAGTAGTTGTTCATAAGTAGCACCAAACACTTAACATACATTTATGGAATTTCCAGCTGTAAATCTAGAATTCTGTGAATTTCATAGCTCTTCAGTTGTACTTACAAGTGTTGTAAATATGTATATATTTTACTTTAGTTTTCCTAAATACAAGCACTCCCTGTTAGAAATGAGTTTGAATTATTGATAAAATTTTGTGTTTGATTTTATATAACAAGTTATTAAATATATTTTTGTGGAAACTGTCTGGTCCTTGAGTACATGTTTTGTGTTTTAGATTTAGTACAATGTTTGATGCTTTTCTGTTCAAAAGGCCCACAAGCCAAGGAAGCCTATAGTGAAAGCAGAAGTTGTGGGCTATGACTAGTGGGCTGTTATCAGGGGGAAAGGGAAAATACTGAACATAAGGCTGAGTGCTTCTAGAGTGTAAACTGATACACAGCTTATGAACTTGCACATACTCTTCTGTCTCAATTATTTTTTTTTTATTCACCATATCTGAGACAGTTAAATGTCTGTTTGAGAGCTCCCAGATAGCCAAGAGGCTTCACCATCTCCCCTATTACTACTCTTCCCTCCCACCTTATTTTTTATTTTCCTCTAAGGGGTTTGATTTCCTTAATAAAACTCCGCTGAAGATTTCAGTCATTAGAAATATATTAAAGCCGGGCAGTGGTGGCATTTGCGTTTAATCCCAGAACTTTGGAGGCAGAGGCAGGCAGATCTCTGAGTTCTGGTGTACAGAGCGAGTTTCAGGACAGCCAGGGCTACACAGAGAAACCCTGTTTCATCCCACCCTCATGAACTGAAGGATGCTACAGGTAGCAACACATGCCTGTAACTCCAGGAATAATGTCTGGTCATACCACCCAGAGCACCCACTCTTGTCCTGACATGGTATCAGAAAGAAAATGCATCTTGAACTAAGTGGGTAGCCCCTCATGCCACATGAGCACCGCTCAAGTAGCTCTGGAGTCAGTGAGCATCTGTTTTAATGTTAGGAAACAGTAAAGTTTAATAGTTCACATGTTAAAAGAATAAACCTATGAAGAATACATTTCTGGTGTACCAAATGAAAAATATACAGTGCAGTGAAATGCAAACACATACAAAACAAATTTGTGCATTTTTTGATAAAGAGAGTTACATTCTATATTAAGTCATAAATATAAAAGAAACAATGTGTAGTTTTTGGTAAAGTAACTTTTAAGCTCTTAAATATATTTCAAGAAAAGAGCCTGTGGTATGTTTAAGATTATATAGCTTAAGTCAAGCCTGCTGAGTTATGATGTGTTTTAACAAATACCTATGCAAAGTAACTAAAATTTTCTATAGAAATTAAATGAGCATATCCAAACCTGGAGTAATATCACACAATATTTAATTATAACCCAGGAGCAGAACTTAGAAAAGTCAAGCAAAACACATCTATTGTCCTCAAATTTACAAATACCTGAAATGATAACAGCATATTTAAAGACAGAAATCAGGAAATTGTACGTTAACAGACAACCATGCATACACACATCTGCTCATTAAACACTGGAGTAAAGAATTACACTATCCAAGTCCTCAGGTGTTTGGTTTTCACTCTGTCTGAAGGAAGCACTTTGAATGTTTGCATGGGAACAAAAGCTTTGATAGTTAACTAACAAATGGTCATGCACCGGCAATTTTTTAAGTTAAATTTTCTTCTTTTCTGGTTGTTCAGTAGGTTCTGACTTTGGTGCAGGAAAAGCTTGATGATACAGGTGTCTGTGGGTTGCTGCTGCACTGTAAAGTTTGTGTAAAGCCTGGAATACAAGAATCAGAGTTATAAAAACACTTTTGTAAATGGTGTGCATGCACAAGTATGAGAGTGTTCATGTCTCTCTGTGTGTGGTGTCTTCCTCTTGCTCTTCACATTATTTGTGAGTCAGGGTTTCTCACTAATTTGGCCAGTCTAGCCGCCAAGCCTGCCCAGAGAATCCCATCTCTATATTTCAAGCACAGGGATTACAGGTGGGCCACCACATATACCTGGCACTTAAGTGGCTGTTGGAGATCTGCATTCAGGTCCTCACCCTTGAATGGCAAGTGATTTATCCATTGAGCCATCTTCTCAGTCCTGAACTGATACTCCTTATATCATTACCCTCTATCAAACACAGACTAGTAGGGGCCGGGAGAGATAGCTTAGCAGGTTAGAGCACTATTTGCTTTTCCAGAGGACTCGGGTTCAATTCTCAGCTCCCACATGATGGTTCATAACTACCAGTAACTGCAGTCCCAAGGGACCTGACATTCTTCTGCCTCCCCTTGGTACTGTATGTACATGTACACAGACTTACATGCAGCTGAAACACACACATGAAACAAAAAGTAAGTAATGTCTTAAAATGTAAAGTATTTTCAGTTCCATGGCATGCTACTGGTTGAGCTTACTCTGACTGCATGTCCTTTATCTTAAACATCTCTTAGAATGCTATCTCCCAGCCCAGTAGCTTTCTGTGTTCTAGGGACATGTGGACATTTCCCACTGTGAATATTGACAATTTCAGATAACTCAGATCTGTAATCTGCTGTGAATTATTTTTCCAGAGCAGGTTACCTTTCCATTCTTACGTGTGTTCGGGTCATCTAATGGGGTACTGTTCTGTCCCCTCTGGTGGGCTCCATTATTTCACATATTCTCCTGCTGTGTTTCCACTACTCAGTTCTGACTGCACAGAACATCATTCAGAACCACCACCTCAAAAGGCCTTTCCTTACTGAAATGACTGCCTCTGATTATTCCTTGTGTGATTTGATCCAGGTTAGCTTCAAATTTATGATCATCCTCCTTCCACCTGCTGAGCACTGGGAGTATAGCATGTACCACCACACCCAGCAATCATACTGCACATTTTTGGGTAGTCTTAAGTATCTTCATTTTTCCCTCTCCGCTAGTAGGTAAGATCTATCCCCCTCTGTCACTTACTGACCACTCTGGAGTCTGTAGTTTTTGAATATTTTTAAGAACCAGGTAAAAGCTCGAGATCTGTATGGCTACTCTCACATTTTTTATTTGTGACTCTATATAGCTGTTTCCTTTTTATAAAAACATTTATTCATTAATGAAGTTTATGTATATGGATGCAATGTCTGCATGTACACTTCACATCAGATGATGGCACCTGATTCCATAGGCCTACAGTTATAGACAGCTATGAGCTGTCATGAAGGTTCTGGGAACTGAACTCAGGACCTCCGGAAGAGCAGCCAATGCTCTTAACTGCTCAGCCATCTCTCCAGCCTCCAGCTGTTTTCTTAACACTGTAAAAGCGGCTAGTGCTGTGTTTGTTCAGTTCTGTAAATATGGTCAGTACGGCATAGAATCATCCTAGCTCTGTCATGTTCTGCTCTCAGTATACTTAGTTTAATTCTAGTTTCCTCACCCAAGGTTTTATGTACTAAGTTGAAATTTGTTTTGTTTTTCTAGTAAATTTAATTTTTTTATATAAAGTAGCTGTTAAACTGACTTTAAAATAGTAAATGTTCCATTGTTATTTGATTAGAGGACATTAATTCATTTATATAGTCAAGTGGAAATTTAGGAAAGAATTATTTGTTGTTCAAGATTAACCTTGAGGAAAATAAGCTAACAATTCTATAGACACAGTTTTTCTTAGTGTAAAGGATAGTTTCTGTCTGGGAGCTCAGCCTCTTCGCGTGTACAGAAAAGGAAAGAGAAAGGAATGCCAGTTCACAGGTCAGGTCTGGGCTCACACCCTGTGATGAAACTTTAACATGGTCTCAGTAGCTGTCAACTCAAAGCCCAAGATTTTTGGTTGGTTGTTTTTGGTTTTTCAAGACAGGGTTTCTCTGTGTAGCCTTGGCTGTCCTAGACTCACTTTGTAGACCAGGCTAGCCTTGAACTCACAGCGATCTGCCTGCCTCTGCCTCGCAGAGTGCTGGGAATATAGGTGTGTGCCCAAGTTCTTCTGGTGTCAGCTGCATCTAAACACCCTCTGGGATGGAATTCCCAGATTGCAGACCTGCTGTCTTCACTGCAGAAGAGCAGAGGGCAACTGTGGCGGTCAGTCTTCATTGTCAACTTTATGGGATTTACAGTCACTATGGAAACTTATCTGGGTATGTCTGTGAGACTGATTTTAAAAAGATTGACTAGGCAGAAGACCCACCCTAAGTGTGGGTAAGACTATTTATCCCACAGGCTGTGGTCCCAGACTGAATAAAAAAGAAAGCGAGCTGAGCTTCCGCAGCCATCTTTCTCTGCTCCTGCCTGCAGCTCCTTATACCCCTGCCGCCATGCTTTCTGCACCACATTCACGTCCTAAACTGAGCCAATTACACCTTTGCTCCTGCATGTTTCCTCTCGTCCGGTTTTGACCAAAATGAGGAAATTAAATAATGCAGTTTTAGAGCTTAAAAGATGACATTTCCAATATAGGAACTGAATCATTTTTATACAAGTTAAACCCTGCATAATATTTAAAAATTCATACAAACTTACGTTTTAGAGAAGTATTTTTCTAAGATATCCTTTAATACCTAGTCATTTATAAAATAGGAATATCATATTTACAAATAATATATCTGTTAATTAAAAAAATGTTAACTTACCTCATTTGTGCTTCCCTGTGGCAAAGGCAATTTTAAAAGAAAGAAAGTTATATCTTGTTTAATTAATAGCATTATTTTCAATTTTATTTGCAATATCAATTGTAAGCATTTAGAAAAAATACTCCTGAAGATTTTTCAGCTTAAAGTCTATATAAAAATATTTTAAAGAATCAATTCTGTATTTGTTAGGCTTTAGCACTGTGTTCTAAGGGTTTTGAGGTTTACAATGATAGCCAATGTTTAGCCTTGTGTGCGTGAGACTTTGAGATAGTGAGTAGCTCAGGATCCAGTGGGACTGCATTCATTTCCCAGGGTGCTGTCATCAGTTTATTTCAGCTTGATCCCTTCCTTGAAGGCACACAACTCACTAGTGCCCGTTCTGTTGTAGGCTACAGATAAGTGTGCTCTTCATGCTGGGAAGTCTGTGTGTGCTACTATGAGCTTCCTCTCTAGACCACAATGTTCAAAAGCTTAAAATATAAAATTGTATGGAGACCTTTATTTTCCCTAAATTCTCAATAAGTAGCTAAAGAGACTTGTGAAACACTGAGCTAATAAGTTATTATTGCTTTCTAGATCTTTACCACTGTCTTCCTGTCTTTAGCTAGTTATTTGGTTATCGTGCCATGCGGCCCTGGCCCCCTCAGCTGAAGCTAACTGCACTAAAAAGGCCAAGCAGCTAGTTCAGAGGCTGACCACTATCTCATGCTGTGGCTTAGTGCAGAAGTCTAGGTCAAATACAGTCTCAAGTATGGACGCTACGGAGAACACTATATAACCAAACAATTATAGGTCATGGATGCCCTCACAAAGCCAGTGCTAGTCAAGTGCTAGGTTACGTTTAACACAGGTGGCAAGCAGCTAAATGACTGTCTTCTCCTACATCTAACACTAACATTTTAGAATCAGAAATAACAGTGCTCTTTTTCTATGTATGTTTTAAATACTAAAATGTCGAGTAGAAAACAGTTGTGTAGGAAATACTGTATTACAGTTGTTCAAATTTTGCCATCTTGTAAAGTTTTAAAGAATGGGCCCAGGTCATGTTCACCTATATGTTTCTGATATTGAATGCAACACGAAGTACACAGTGTGTGCAGAATTTAACTGAGGAAGAGGAAAAGCTCTCTTACCTGGTCCCACAGGGCTGCAGCTACCTGGTCGATCACAGCACCCAGTTCTCGATACTCTCCAGAGTAGCGGATATATGCCCAGGTGCACAGGGTGATAAGCGTCAGTCCCATGACCATGTTGCACAGGCTAGCTATGATGTCCAAACCAATGAATCCAGTTACCCCAGCAATCACATACGTGATAAAGATGACGACAAACAGTGTGGCTGGGGTGCGGGCTGCATGGAAGATATTTTTGCTATCATTGTGCTTTATATACTGGATGTAAAGTTCATCTATTTCACTCTCCAGTTGCTGCAGGTAACGTCGGCTGAATTCTTCCCCACCCATCTTCTTCACTCCTCGGAATAACTTCACAGATTCTTCTTTTAGCTGCAGGTGCTTGGTCTGCAGGTCATTAGGGGCCAGAAATGGTTTGTCACCACCACAAACCTATGTGTGAGAGAGAATATTTATCTAATAGGGCATAAATTAGCAACTGTATCCAAAATTGTCATTAGTAGCTACTTTTCTTAGAGCACACCTGAATGCTACATAAGAAGGATGAACCCAGATGGGCTCCACTTCCATCACCTAGTGACACTGCAGCCAGGACGATGTTGTCACTTATGGTAAAGTTACTGTGAACAACCTACACTAAACAGCTATTGTTTAAAGTAAAGCATGCACTACAGATTTCATCATAATAAATGACTATTTACCACACTATACTGTTCATCATTATTTTAGAGCCCATTTCTACTTATTAAAAAAGTTCACTGTAACACACATAGTATTATGTGTTATACTAACTACAACATCATTCCTCTTGAATTTATGTGTTCTGATTGCATCAAAAGGACAAGTTGAGTGACCTAAAACATCTAGGTGTATGTAAATACACAGTAACGTTTGCAAGACAAAATTACTTGACGCATTTCTCAAAATACAATCTGTCATTAAGTGACAAAAAGGAGGCAGATATGTGTTGTCAGTCCAAACTATCTACCCCATATCCATGAGGCATCAACTATCAATGTGGCTGGTAGAGTGGATTATATAATAAAGTCTTTATGAGTTTGTTTGTTTCTGGAGACAGGGTTTCTCTGTATAGCCTTGACTGTCCTAGAACTCGCTCTGTAGACCAGACTGGCCTTCAACTCGCTAAGATCTGCCTGCCTCTACCTCCTGTGTGCTGGGATTAAAGGCATGCACCACCATACCTGGATAATAAAGTCATTCATAATCCTCTTCTGTCTTTGCCTCTCTTGCCAGGGATTCGCTGCTGTCAGGCTGGCCTCAAACCTACAGCAATTTACCTGCTTCTATGTCCTGAGCGTTGGGATTAAAGGTGTACCATAATGCCCAGCCCCTCTCTTTTACAACATAGGAAATAGTATCTATGGCTTAACCAAATTCTTTAAGATGAAAAGACATGCCCCAACATAATTGCCAACTATTTGTTCACAGAATGAATACAAAGCTGAGAAAACTGCTTATATCTCAGTTCTTCTAGAAGTCAAATTATACTGAAGTAATTTTGACCAATGAAGTTTAATTTAAAGAATAATCAAATATAAAACTCTTGAACTATGAAGTATATTTTCCTTAGCTATTTCACTGGTTTAGTTTGAAAGGAGCCAACTGGATGTTTCTTAGACTAAGTAGAAGCATATTAAATGTTCTTGAACTATACTTTCAAGTTTTAAAAAAGTTACAAGGTAGGCTGGGGAGATGGCTCAGTGGGTAGAAATGATTGCTTATGCAAGCAGGAGGACCTGAGTTCAAATCTCAACAACCATATAAAAACTGGGCACAGCTGCACCTGCCTATAACCCCAGCATTGAGGGGTGGAGCTCACTGGGCAACCAGCTTAGCTTCTAGTTCAGTGTGAGAGCCTCCCTTAAAGAAATAAGGCGTGGGGGGAGCAGAAAATTACTCAACAGCTTCCACTGGCCTTCACGTGAACATGGGGCAGCTCCTGACCAAAACACACATACATACGCATAAAAGAGTAGTTACACAGAGATTTTCAGTTAACCATGTATATATAAAATTTCCTTTTATTGTAAGGTTTTGTCAATTTTAGATGTCACTTTGGCCTTACAATGTTTTAGGAGAAAATGATACTTCTCACATTAGTTAAAACTGAAATGAGGAAATATAATACATAAATACATAATACATAAAAGTATTGGTTCTTGAGGCTTAATTTTTGTTTTCTACAAGTTTTAAGAAAAATGCTAAGACTGTAGGATTAAGTATGCACAGTGAAGAGAGGAGCATGTGACCTTTAGTCACTAAATCTTCCAGTGGGACCATCTTGCCAAATAAAATGTGAATCAGAATATTCTATTAGGAGAGAACTGGTTTTTTAAATGCTTTTGAAACTGCACTGTGGCCTGGTGGTGGTGCCCCACCCCTTTAATCCTAGCGCTCAGGAGCGGCAGAGGCAGGCACTTAAGGCCTGATCTGCAGTGCTAGTTCCAGGACAGCCAAGGCTACACAGAAACTGTCTTAAAAAACTAAACCGGGGGCTGGAGAAATGGGTCAGTGGTTAAGAGCACTGTCTGCCCTTCCAAGGGACCCAGATTCAACTCTCAGCACCCACATGACAACTCACAAACAGTTCCTGGTGGCAGGTGGTCTGACACCCTCACACCAATGCACATAAAATAAAATTAAATAAATTATTTAAAAAAAAGAAAAACCAAACCAACAAAAAAATTGTGCATTGTTTTTTTTTGTTTGTTTGTTTTTGAGACAACTCGAGTTTGATTTTGCATATGTCTCAGGCTAGGCTTGAACAATCATTACATAGGCCAGGCTAGCATCACCTTCATGGCAATTCTGTCTGAGCAACCCAACCACATTATGTAATCTTAGGAATATGAGACATGTGATATATACATACTGCACAATATGACATTAAAATCACCTCTGCATATGGACACAGTGTGATGTGACATTAAAGAAAGGGTTTGAAGAGAAAATACTGTTTATTTTTTTAAATCCTGATTTCTTACCTCTTCCATCTTCTTGTTGTATGTGTCCTTGGCAGTTGCGACAGCTGCTAAATTGTTAGCTTCTGCTGTGGCCTTGGGACAAAGTACATGTTACAATGCAAAGTGGAATCATATGTATCAGAGCATCACATGCAAAAGGTATACCAGCCATCAAGGAACTGAAATCAGTATTTCTACTATTATTAACTTTCTAAGATGTCTAAAACCTAGATTTTGACTTAATAAGCCATCATGCTAACATGAGGGTTCATTCAGATGACTTTTTGTCTTCACAGTATATTAGTCTTATCTCAGTAAGTGCGGTGGGAACCAGCGCACCAGCCAGAACAGGATGAGCCTGTTTCTAAACAGATTCAGTACAAAGAGGAGACAAAGTCTTGGGCACAAAGTGGATCTCAACCCAACTAAACTGTTGTATGCATGTGAAACGTTCAGATGGACACACGGGTGAGTGACCGTGCAAGTGGTCTTCAGATGACTGTGAGAGCTTGGCTTCAGGGACGAATCTTTCCAAGACCACACCTCCCAGTGAACACACACCTGTAACATGGACTTGGGATGTGGCAACTCCTCACCCTGATAGATCTTTATGTATGCCTAAAACAAAGGAAAAAGACGCAGGCAAGCAACTTCATTCAACATTTCTCTCATAATAACTTGCATTTTAGGGTCTTGACAATTTGAAAAATATTTTCAGGAACTAGTCTTCCTTTGCTTTTTTTAGCTAATGCTGTTCCCCCCTTCCGAAATGCTCTTCTCAATCATATCCATAGACCAATGCTGCCCTTCTTCAGAAAGGCTCTTCTCCCTTATAGCTTCCTCAAATCCCTCCAATGGAGCAGCCTCCCTTTTCTGAGTTTTATCCCTGCTGGCAGGATAAGCTGCATGGATCTCATCTGCTAGGAGATCATGAATTCAAACTGTAAACTTATCTACAGTGTTAGACTAGAAATTCAGATACAACCATTGTTCAGAGTGATGAAGGAAAATAAAACATAAAATAGATGGTAAAATACCAACTTAAAAGTTGACATTTAATCTTGAAGCACTTCATAAATCAAGTTAATTTCTTCTTTAAATATGTATGTTGGCCAAGGGCATTTGGTGTTAATTAAAGTCAAGAGGTAAATACAGATTTAAAGTAATTCTACTAAAAACGCAATTGTTACAGATAACAATTTTAAAGAATCTTTTTCAAGAGGAAAATATAGTTGCTTTGGGACAGTCTTAAAGGATGACTTTCAGTATGGGGGAACTCTGGAAAGCACCCTATAAAGGTTCATTCAACTCTTTGAAATAGTTGAATTTCAAAGTTAAATGAAAGTTAAGTTCCCTCAAGTTAAAGTCAAATGGTAAATTTACTTCTAAGTAGTTTCCTCACAAAAGACTTTCTTTCCTCAGAAAGTGACTTCTCTTAGTTGTGTCTTCATTTCTCAAAGCTTTGGAGTGGGCGCCTTATACACTTGCCCCACAGCACTTATATGTGAAGGACACTCATCCCAGTGCTTGTCAAGGGGAGGCCTCACAGGCGCTCTGGAAATGAGAGTGATACCTTGAAGTACTCCAGCAGACCGCGGCAGGTGATTTTGTTCCCATTGATCTCTTTAATATCTAGGTTCTCAGGACTAAGCAGCCACGGAATCAGTATTTTCAAGTTTTTGATGAATTCATCATCTATTTCTACAATGAAAGGAAATTCACCGTTATTTTAGAAATCTAGTCCAGTCCTCCATGTCAGAATAAAATCTCCTTTGGCTACCTCCAGGTCTCTGTCCCAGTGGCAACACACCACTCACTTTCCCATAATGTAGCAACTCTGGAGATCTGATACTGGGAATCATTCATCTTGACCATTTTCCACTGTTTGGCTCTCTTATATCCACTCTAATTACATTCATAAAGTATTTCTTGACATTAAATGTTAGACATATTTTACAGCCCATATATGGAAGCATTTCATGTAGTCTGAACCTTTGGAGTCTATCTTATAGTTATGTATAGAGGCTCAAAAAGGGGGAGGCTGGGTATGGTGCTGTGTGCCTGCAATTCTAACTAGTTGTGGGCCTGAGGCAGGGTCATTTAAGTCCAGGCATTCAGGTCCAGCCTGGTTAATAACAAGACACTGCCTGCACCAGGCTCTCACTCTGTAGCTCTCCTATTGGAAGGACTGTTCTTGTCTGTGCCTCCTAAATGCTCAGGTTACGGACATGATAGTATGTAGCCCAGGCTGACCTTAAAGTTGTTATGTAGCCAAGGCTCACTTTGAACTCCTCTTCCCATTTCCTAATTTCTGGGTTTATAAGCAAGTGCTATTCACACTCTAGTGAGACCACATCTCTAATAAAAAGGTAGCGGGGCAGATAATTTATGGCTTGAAATGCATTGCCTTTAAAAACTGACCCAAGTTCTCTTGTGTTTCCTTTGCCTGCATTGTATTTATAGAAAACTGGGTAACCTGTGGTAGCAAAATCTATAGTTTTAATGGTGGAATTCAACAGCACAAAATAATACAGCAAGAATTGGCCAGCCAGGCCTGAAAACGGATCAGCAGGAGTCTCTGTTATTTACCTGTTCTTAGCTGTTAGTTCACACTTAGTATACAGACTTAGTAAAACTACAGAATGTAGAAGGTCAGAAGGTCAGATAAGTCCTATCCTATACATGGATAACTTCATAAGTCCCTTTAAATACATGGAAAATGTGCATACTATATATAGGAGGTATGAACTGTGACTTGGTTTCTAAGTAAATGATTACTACAATACATCTAGATACTATAATGATTACTATATGTTCCTAAATGTCTATATGATAAAGTTTTCTCCTTATAAAACCACTTAAAATCAATATACACACACATATAATTTTTGAGAACTTGTCTTATGAAATTGGAATGAAATAAAAATACACCTAGATATACTAAACCAGAAAGGTAACTATTATTAAAGCAATCCACATATTTGGGCACAATGTATTCTGAAAACAGTGTTAGACATTTCTGCTTTCTCTGAAGTGTTGCTAAGCATTCTATAGGTCCAGAAAATAACAATATATTAATAATAGACACAAGTGGTGGCCTCTTACAAATATAGCTGACTATAGTAAATTCACAATCTAGAACATCCTTAGATAAATTCAGATCCATTTCCAGAGGGCCCAGTGAGTGTTAAGTCAATATGTGTAGATGGGTGAACACTCAAGATGATGTTATATTTTCATTTCTTCAGTAAGTTTTGCCCTCAAGAGAGCAAAAACTTTTTAGAAATCCAGGGGTAGTGGTAGTTACCTTAGTTACTAACTACACCCTTCGCAATGTCCACTTTATAACTAACTCCACAGAGTGGCACACTAGCATAAGATTTGGGTGAAAACTAACAAAGGAAGGTAATTTCTCAAGGTTACCTGCCAAGTCATTAGAAATATGTTTTTCTCATTTGACTCTGAAATATAACTGCTGCTAAGGAAGCAGCCTCACAGTGTATTCTGTGATGGCCTGATTGGGTTATATAACTCCTTGCTAATTTAAAGACCATTTACTATGCTAACAGAGGCATTTAATTCAATAAAAGCTAGTTGAATGTAGTGCAAATAACCATGACTCAGAACTTTTGACCTCTGGTTTCCAGTATGGGAAGTTTCTTCATTAATACCAATTAAGGTTAATCATAACATTTTAAAGAACACTGAAAATACTGTTATTTCTGATGTTATTAAAGATGGTAATGATTGCAATGCTTTACAGGACAATAGGCAAATTATTAGTGTTGATGCGTTAGAAAGTTATTTCTGCCTGTGAAATAGCACCTAAGAACCTATTACCAAAGAACAAAGTTTTCACAATTGTTTGTAACCAGAAGACATTTCTTTGCTAGAGATAACCACTGTGATGATGTTATTCTTCATTCTGAAGAATATCATGGCTAGCCCACAAGACATCCAGAGTAGAAATCATCACATTATGAGATTCAGGGTTTGTATGTTCATTGCTGCTCTATTCTTAAGACAGAAATTGGAAACAACCTAAATGTTCCTCAACAGAAGAATGGATAAAGAAAATGTGGTACATTTTTTTAAAAATGAAATTACTCAGCCATTAAAAAAAAGAAGAAGAAATGAAACCTGCAGGTACATGGATGGAACTAGAAAAAAATTACCCTGAATGAGGTAACAGACCCAGAAAGACAAAGGTAGCCTACATTCACTTATATGTGGATATTAGCTGTGGCCAATGATAACCAAGCTACTATCCACAGAACCACAGAGGCTAGGTGTAGAGTAAGGTACTGGGGGAACAGACAGGTCTCCCTAGGAAAGGGAAAGAGAATAGATAATTACAGATATATGGGTGAGGGACTGGAATGGGAGGACCAAGTGGAAAGGGGAGAGAGAGAGGAGTACAAGGAAGGAACAGCTAAAACGGGCCATTTGAGGGGTAGTATGGAAACCTAATACAGTAGAAACTTCCTAAAATATATACACATGTGAAGGAGATCTAAATGAAATTGCCAAACATTGGGAGAGAGAGAGAACCCCAAGTGCACATCTTGTCAGCCAAATAAAGCTTCCAGTACTAGACTAGTTTACATCTAATTGGAGTTGTTGGCCAAAGGCGCCCCACGAGAATCTCCAAACTACTCAGGCTGTTGTCAAGACAATAGGTTGCTCTTCACAAACTGACAGCAAGGCCGCATTGTTGAAGACAACACATATACAATGCATTGAACATGGAGAAGTCAATCTGGACTACATAGAGCTTTCACCCCTACATGTTAGTGTCTTTGGTACAGGAAGGTACTCTGCAGTGACAACCCCTTTGATTTACAATGGAGTCCGAACTGCAACGATGACATAAAGTTTGTGGGAGTAACTGACCAATGTGAGATTTGACTGAAGGCTGATTCCATGAGATACAGCCCATACCTGACACTGCTTTGGTGACCAAGAACCTAAGAACAGATGTCCCAAGGACCTCGGTAAAACCAAGTATTAATGCTCTAAAATAAGCAAAACAAAACAGCAATAAAATGACTCCTAATGATACTCTGTTGTATATACTCAGAGATCAGTGCCTTGCTCAGCCATCATCAGAGACGCTTCCTCCTGAAGCAAATACAGACTCACAGCCAGGCATTATGCAGAGACCTTGGGACACTCGTCCCTAAACGGGATATCTCCATCAAATTCCTCCCCTCAGAGCCCAGGGAACTCCACTGAAAAAGAGGCAGAAAGAGTGGAAGAGCCAGAGAGGATAAGAGAACACCAAGAAAGCAGGGCCTCTAATCCAATGTGACTGATGGACACGTGAACTCAGAGACTGAGGCAATGTGCACAGTGCCTGGACAGGTCCTCAGCAGACAGGGTGCAGAGCTGAAGGAGAAGTGGACACACACTCCCATCCCTAACCCACAAGTTGTCTTCAGTTGATAACCACTTGCAAATGAAAATTTAGTTTTCTCCAAGGGAGTTTCACTGGGGAAACAAACTACTCTTAAGCATGCCTTCCATGGCATGCTCAGCCATGGAAGGCCAACAGAAAATGGACTCAATGGCATCTTTGGAGGTTCCTTGTAGCATGTGGTGTCAGGGCTCTTCCTTTGTTATCTATTTTATTTTTATGGTTTTAGCTATGTATTTTTTCTTCTCTCTTTTTACCTTACAGGTCCTTTGTGTATATACTACGAGATTCCTTAGTGTGGAACAAGTAGGTCTCTGTTTCTTATGCTTTCTCTCGGGCCCTTCCATTTGTTTTGTCCAATTCGATATGTTAGTTTTTGTTTCCTCTTATTAATGTATTTTATTTTATTGTCATCTTCTAATGAGAGACAGAAAGGGGGGTGGATCTAGATGGGAGGGGTAGCGGGGAAGAGCTGGGAGGAGTAGAGGAAAATCATAATCAGGGTATATTAATGTGAGAAAAAAAATCTACTTTCAATAAAAAAAATCAGTGTTAGAAAAATGCTGCAGATAACAGATTTTCACAAGTGACAAAGAAAACATTGAGATAAAATAGAATATTTCTGTACACAAGGCAGATTTAGCAGCAATCCTATAAGGTATACAAGCCTCATTAAAACAGACCCCTTAGGACAACTGAAGCCATTTTCATTTCTCTTTCTCCCAGGGCTAGCTACTTTCAAACTCACAGCTGGCAGATGGATGTAGGCAACTGCATAGGACAATGTCTCTGTGGACATATAGGGACAAGTGGATGGAGAGCAAATTATTACAAAGGAGGAGGCTGTCTCTGTGAGATTTCTCCTAACCCTTCCTGAGCATGGGCACTACAAAGCCTCAGTGGAAGCATGAGCTGCAGCTGCTTGCTACTGTAATGGAACAGGCCAGTAGGCTTCTTTCTTCTCATAAGGAACCCTGGTCCAGGGGTGTCCCACCAACCCCAACCTCTTACCCTTTACCCTCTGTTCCTGTTTATGGCTCCTAACCCCTGAGAAGAAAGACAGGCTTTCTAAAAGCCTGTATTTATGTGCTTCATTCAAGACACACTGAAGCCATTAGTAATTTCATGATAGTAAGAGGGCTGTGTGTCTACCAGTAGGTTATAGCTCAGGAGCAGCAATGAGATTACAGGCTTCCGGCATCTGCATGTCAGTATGATGTGCCCACTGCCGTCTGCTGTTGTAAAAACAGGGAAAAAAAAGAAAGAAAGATTCTCAAGTGTAAAAAAGCAAGCTGGTGGCTTAGACATTTAGATTTCTGCTTATTAGATCAACTGCCAATGTTAAAGGTGTCAGATAATTCCATGGCTGCAAGGAAAATCACTTTTGCTGATCAAATCTGCAAGCTTTTAAAAACTGATAAAAAGACTCTACTTAGCAGTGTATCAGAGCAGATGCTGAGACTCATAACCAAACCTTTGGCAGGTTTGAAAGAATGGAGAGTTAGTATGACCTGGAGAGGACAGGAGCGCCACAAGGACCAAATATATCTGGGCACAGGTGTCTTTTCTGAGACTGTTTCTCCAACCAAGGAACATGTATGGATATAACCTAGAACCCCTGCTAGGATGTAGCCCATGGTAACTCAGTATCCAAGTGGGTGTCCTAGTAAGGGGAACAGGGACTATTTCTGACATGAACTCAATGGCTGGCTCTTTGACCTTCCCCTCACCCACACCCCAAGGGAGGAGCAGCCTTGCTAGGCCACAGAGGAGGACATTGCGGCCAGTCCTGAAGATACCTGATAAGCTAGGGTCAGATGGAAGGGGAGGAGGACCTCCCCTATCAGTCAACTTGGAAAGGGGCAGGGAGGAAATGAGGGAGGGAGGGTGGGATTGGGAGAGAATGAGGGAGGGGACTATGGCTGGGATACAAAGTAAATAACCTGTAATTAATATAAAAAAATAAAAATTATAAAAAAACTGATAAAAGATATGTTGTTAATTTTTAATATAACCTGAAATCTCCTTGACAATAATTGTGCTGAAAAAAAAAAAAACCCCAACAACCCTGAAATGTCATTGTTTCACCCCTGACACACTGCAAAAAAGCCATGATAAATTAGACAAGAAAGCTTGAATTCCATGGTATGTTCAATGATAGGCCCACAAGTAAAACAGTCAAAAGTCCATTGAACTACCTCGACTTAACTACAAAGCAAATGTCTAAGGACAGTGTCTTGACTCTCTCAGCAACATGAACTTTATTTCTAAACACCCAACCTCCAATCCCAGAACTTTTCAAACATGAGTCAACTTCTGTTAGCATGCTGTTTCATGCTATAGAAGATATAAGCTGAAAAACACTCAGTGCTTATTCTTTTCTTATATGGAGAGGATTTGTTTTTTGGTGAATTTTTCATAATTTGTAAAAGTCTTCAGTAGATTCAGTATTGAATGCAGTGTTTGCTTTCAGCCCCTAACTATGTGTTTCAGCAAATGAAACATTCCAAAACACAGACATTTTCCCACTTCAGTATAAATACGAGAAGCTAAGCACACACTGAGGCAATTTTCCAAGCACAGAGATGTAAGGAGAAGGCTGCTGCCTGCTGGTGAAGGTGAAATTTGGGTCTGTGGCCACCAAGCCTGCTCCCCAGCTCTCTTGCCAGCAGCTCGTCATCTGCCTGACATCAGTGCACAAGCAAAGCCAGCAGCCAAACACATGTGGAGTTGACTTCATGATCAGATAAGCAAGACAAACAGATTAAAGAGAAGGCAGACAAACCTTTTAGTTTTCCATCGAAGTTTGGGTTTGTAGCTACTTTTAAGCCAGGATGAGGTAGGAGAAAACAGGAAATGTTGGTAAAACAGGAATGGATGTGCTTTCTGACATTCTGTAGTTCTTCATGCTGGTTCCCTGAGACCTGCAGAAAGTCATTCTGAAGTTAAACTTTCTTGGGACATAAACTGAACAAAATATTTTGGTGGCATTCTACATTTGTCTGGCCTGTCTGCTTCCATAATGATAAAAATGGCATGAGGCAGCTAGGATTAAAGGCTGAATTTGCTCATGCAGCCGTATCTAAGTACAGAAACTCACAGCACAGTTAGTGCAATTTACAAGCCACTGTCTCCTTACAGGACATGGTGAGGCCCATCTCAGCCACGGGCCAGTCTCGGGGGTAAATTCCTGTCAAGCTCACCTTCGACTGCTGGGATAAACACCATGGCCAAAAGCAGCGTGGGGTGGAAAAGTCTATTTCCACTTCACCTTCTATTCCATCACCAAGGGACCAGGATCTCAAGACAGGAACTTGGAGGTGAGGCTGAAGCGGAGGCCATGGAGGAGTGCTGACTGCTCCCCATGGCTTGCTCAGCCTGCTTTCTTGTATAATCCAGAGCCACCTGCCAAAGCACCACACACAGTGGGCTGGCTCTTCCACACCAATCATCAAGAAAACCCCCACAGACTTTCTTACAGGCCAGTCTGATGGAGGCATTTTCTCATTTGAAATTTTCTCTTCCCAGGTGACCCTATCTTGGATGAAGTCGACCAAACAAGCAATCATTCTCCCCCGCCCTCCCAAAACCAACCAACCAACAAACATAGATTAACCAGCTCAACACTTGAGTTCTAGCAAGGCATCTGAACGGCTAGGTATTTCAGACAAGCCTAAATACCCCCAATCCTTTTTAGACATATGTTTAATAGTCTGTAGAAACAGAATGACAGACTTATTTTAAACGCCAGAAAAATGTAAATCTAGATACTTACACTGTAGCTATTTTGAGTCTTTAAGGTAAAAGTCCTGCCTTTAGGAATAAGTAAGTGTCTTACATAATTACCAAAGAAGTATCTGTATCAAATCATTGACAATATTTAAAGTTACAATTCTACGGCTTACTAAAAATCCATCTTGGGTTGTTTATAGAGATACTATGACGGGCAAGTGGAATTGTGGCTCCTGAGTATTCAGGAGATCATCCAACAGAGATCCTCTAGCTTAGATCTGGGGAAATGGCATGCACCGAAAAAGCTAACCAACCTTGAGACGTTTTTCCAAGAACTTGGCGCCACCATCAGCTCCGTATGAAAATTCATACGGGAAACTCCAGTCTCGAACAAGAAATATCAGACTCTGAAAGCAGTAAGAAGGGTGGGTGAGAGTGCTTAGAGGCTGTAGCCCTCTGCCTTTACTGGAGCCAGTCATATCACTGCATCTTAGCAGTGCTCCTTGTCATAGTGCTCCTTGTCACAGTCCAGGCAGTTACCAGTTTCTAAGACACCACTACGCTTCGGTTAGGTGTGAGCAGCAAGCTTCCTACTAGCTCCACAATGAATGCATCCCACTGAGATGAATGAGGGAGTCATGACCAACATTCAGCTGGCTGAATGGAGCGATAATTAGATTTTATGTGGCATGTTCCTATGAGTCCCCGCTCAATGGCTACAGCAGAATATATGCGTAAGATATCAGACCAGCCTTTTAAAACTTAAAACATTGGAGACAATTTTGGTCTGAGTCAGGGTGGTACTGAACTTCCTGTGTAGACCAGGCTGTCCCTGAACTCACAGCCATCCTCTGGCAAACACACTCCACCAGCTTTTATCCTTTTGTTTGCTTTTTAAATATTTTTAACTTTTTCTGTGTTTGTGTGTATGCCAGAGGACAACTGGTGGGGTTGGTTCTCTCTTCCTACCACGTGGGTTCTAGGGATGAAACTCAGCTAATAAGCCTTAGCAGTAAGCACTCCTATATTTCAACCATTTGGCCTGCCCTCCACCAGCTTTTTTCCTAAACTGAATTATTTTATTTTTATAGAAATCATAATATGCATTTTCTTTTCACAAAAAATCAAGTCCAAAGAAAAATTTAAAATGAATTCCAAATCTCAAAGGCAACTATAACTAAGACTTAGTAAGCACTTTATACACAAGGGGAAAAAAGACAATTCTATGTTTTTTTTTTTTAATGAGAGTATCTAAATGACACAAAGTAAAACATATTACACTAAGATATAATTGAAATTAAATGTCTAAAAAATTTAATATGGCACTTAAGACAGTGATGAGTTTCAAGTAACTGATATTTCACCACCAAAAGTTCACAAGTTGTATGTTCACTTTAAAGTCTTCTGTGTTGAAATTTGCTCTACATACTGAACATCACATATAATGTTATGGCTTAATGTATTTTCAGAAGTTGAGCATACCATGTACCAGCACTAGATGGGAAAACAATTTCTATCACCCAGAAGCCCCCACTCCTGCTTTCTCCCCTCCACCTCTGCTTAAGCTTGATCCACTATTTAGACTTGAGAAATCCTAAGTTGGTTTTTCATGTCTTCACCCAACACTGTATTTGTGAAATTTAACATGCTGTTGCATAACTGTTTATCATTCACAGTCACCACTGCATAACATTCCATTATGTGAGTAATCATTAGTTCATCCTGCTGTAGGTGAACAAGAATCACAGTTAGCCTCAGGGTCTGCTAAGGATTTGTTTGATCCTTAACTTTTTGCCAGGAGAAAACTAGTATTCCCAGACTTCCTCTCTTCTTTCCTTCCATCTCCTATTTATTTTTTAAGTAATAACTTTGAAATAACAGTAAAATAAGTTTAAGTATAAATGTTTAAATATAATGAATAGCTCTGACAAATGCATGAGGAAATCATAAGGTTTAAGCCTGTAGGTCCAACTGCCTATGCCCCCATGTTATTTGTACTTTCCTCATGATAATATTTTAACATATCAGAACTTGATTTTTTTTTCTGTGGTAAATAATGAAAACCAGCTTCAACATGATTAAGTTTAAAAGCATAGAATAGAATACTGGTTCCCAAACTGAGAAGACCAGAGCCTTTTTCCTGTCTTTTTTTTTAAATTTATTTTTATTTTTTATAATTTATTCACTTCATATCCTGATTGTAGCCCCCTCCCTCATTACCTCCTGGTCCCACCCTCCCTCCTTCTTTCCCCATTCCCCTCCCTTAGTCCACTGAAAGGGGGAGTCCTCCTCCCCTACCATCTGACCCTAGCCTATCAAGCAAGTCTCATCAGGACTGCCAGAGTCCTCTTCCTCTGTGGCCTGGCAAGTGAAAACACATGCTGGCAAGGATGTGGAGAAAGGGGAACTCTCTTCCATTGCTGGTGGGAGTGCAAACTTATACAACCGCTTTGGAAATCAATCTGGTGCTTTCTCAGAAAATTGGGACTAGTGCTACCTCAAGACCCAGTAATACCACTCTTGGGCATATACCCGAAAGATACTCCACCATTCAACAGGGACATTTGCTCAACTATGTTCATAACAGCTGTATTCATAATAACCAAAATCTGGAAATAACTTAGATGTCCCTCAGCTGAAGAATGGAAACAGAAACTGTGTTACATTTACACAATGGAATACTACTAAACTATTAAAAACAAGAAAATCATGAAATTTGCAGGCAAATGGATGACACTAGAAAAGATCATCCTGAGTGAGGTAACCCAGAACCAGAGAGAGACATGCATGGTATATACTCACATATAAGTGTACACTAGCCATATAATATAGGTTAATCCTACTAAAATCCACAGACCTAAAGAAGGTAACTAACAAGGAGGACCCTAGGGAGATGCTTAATTCTCATTCAGAAGGGCAAACAGGATAGATACCGGAAGCAGTGGAAGAGAGGGAACAGAAGGGGAACCTACTATAGATGTCCTCTGAAAGACTCCACCCAGCAGAGGATAGAAGCAGAAGCTGAGACTCACAGCAAAACTTTGAACAGAGTGCAGAGAGTGTTACAGAAGAATGGGGGGACAGAAGGACCCCAGGGGGACAGAAGGACCCCGGGGGGATAGGAGCTCCACAAGGAGACCAACAAAGCCAAAAACTCTGGGCCCAGGAGGGCCTGCAGAGACTGATGCACCAACCAAGGACCATGCATGAAGAGGACCTAGACCCCCTGCTCAGATGTAGCCGGTAGGCAGCTCAGTCTCCATGTGGATTCCCTAGTAAGGGAGCGGGGTTATCGCTGACAAAAACTTGGTTGTATGCTCTGAGCCTTTTCTTTTTCTAATCAGTCCTTTCTACATGGTGGCCAAAGCGACCACCGGGATTTGGAAGAACACCGCAGTAGATTAGCACTACTGTGCGGTTCAGTTTGTAAAAGATCTACTTATTTTTAGGGTGTGCGTACTTTGCCGGCATGCACAGGCATGTGCACCGTGTGCACACCTGGTGCGATGGGTCCCCTGGAACCGGAGTTACAGACAGCTGTGAGCTGCTATGTGGGTGCCGAGAATTGAACCCGGATCCTCTACAGGTGCGGGCTCCTAACCATCTCTCCAGCCCCACAGTTCAGTTTTTATAACAGCTCTACCAGCAAAGTCCAGGGACTAACTACCTGTAATTAAATGTCCAGTCCTGAAACTACCACTATGGACAGAGGGATGCAGAGATGTGAACAGACTTCTCTGTGAGGGGTGGGTGGTACCCTTCACCTGAACCAATGAGAGTAGATTCCCATTGGGAGGAGTGCTACCAACAACTTGGGGTGGAGACTGGGGACCACAGATAACCACAGATCTCCACTCCTGCACTACAGTGCCTTGGCTTGCCATGGATTACAAGTCTCTGAAAGCAAAGACTGAATCTCTTGCCTGCTCGTTATTAGGATAAGCACAATGCTTGGCACAGAATCAGTGTTTTGTGTAGATTCTTAATTACCAACATTAATGTCAAGGTTCAAAACACTTGTATTATGCTCTGTAATCGTCTTAAGTCTTGGTGGTGCTTATGTCGTTTCTAATTTGATCCAACATATCAGAAGTCCTTTAGTGTCAGCCTGTATACCTAAGCTTTCACCAGTTAAGCCCTCTTGTGGTGCTGGGGTTGGCCCCAGGGCTCATACTCAGTAGGTCCCCAGCAATCGAAACAAGAGAGTTAGAGTTGCTGCACTTCTTGAGTACTCTCATTCTTGAGAATTTCTACTGCTTATTTTATAGTTCTTAGACCAATTAGCTAGAAATAAAATTCTTAGACTGATTTCAAAGCTTTGTTATAATTGTTCAGCTGCCCCTATTTATTGAATATTACTGTGGCAAATTCTACAGAAATTATTTTTCCTTAAATATACTAAGTATATCAGTATATTCTAATGTTGACTGGAATTCATCAGTATTTCCTAGAGAGATACTATGAAGATTCAAGTTTTTCATCTATCATCTTTTAAAACAGTTTCTCTTTATTACATTTATTCCATTAGCTTCTTTAGGAGCGCTTACTATGGCACGTAGTATACAAGGATGTAGAACGTGAAGTTTATCTAATTTGTGGGGGCAGTGGAGGTTCACTATAAGAAAATATATAAAATATAAAAAATACAAAAGTCTTGGGAAAAGCCTGGCAAATGTTACAAACACACACACACACACACAAGACAAATAACTAATATACCTTTATCACATATCTTTTTTGAAAGGTGTTCCAAGTTATGCCTCCCTCTATCACCCACCCAGTACACACACACATACACACACACACAGAGAGAAAGAGAGAGAGAGAGAGACAGAGACAGAAATGGAGAGACTGACTGACTTATTATCTGTCCCTGACTGGCCTGGCACTAGCTACATAAACCAAGATGGCCTCAAACTTTCACTGACCCAGCTACTTCTGCTCTAGGCACTGGGATTCATCCTAGACACAGAGTCAAGCACCTCTTCAAAGCAGCACCAGTTTCTTTGAGTTGGAAACTATAACTTCAACATTAGCAATGCTGGGTGATGCTTACCTGCTCATTATTCCTAGGTCTTTTCAGTGGGCAAAGCCAGTACTTATATATATGTGCATGTGTACATGTATGTGTATATGTAATATGTATGTGATAGAATATTGCCTTAATTCATGCTAGTATTTGCACTTGAACACTCAGATATAGGAGCAAGATATTTTCACTGAATTCCTTAATCATATCTGTTTCCAGATTCTGGCTATTATAACGCTGCTCCAAACATAAATTGAATGGCAGAGAAACAGTTAAAGAAATGCTCAACATCCTTAGTCATCAGGGAGATACAAATCAAAATGACCCTGAGATTTCACCTTACACCTATCAGAATGGCTAAGATAAAAAACTCAAGTG